TCCGGTATATCAAGTTGGGACCGGACCAAGCCCCTGTATCAAGGCTGAGCAAGGCATCCCACCATAGGAAATGGGTTCCAAATAGCCAGTTCATGTACCTGGGATAAGTCCCTGGTCCCACTGTCAGTGTCCCCAACAGATCTAGTCACCTAAATGTCACCCACATTCAGAGGGTCTAGTTCAGTCCCATGTGGGTTCCCAGCTGTCAGTCCATAATCCATGTGTTCCCACTAGCTTGGGTCAGCTCCCTCTGTGGTTTTCCCCATCATGCTCTTTACCCCCCCACCTTTGTTCTCTTGGTCCCTCACTCCCTCTCTTCAACTGAACTCCAGGAGCTCAGCCCAGTGAAGCTCTGCATTTTTAAAACCCTTATACAGCTGACTCATTCCCGGGTACAATATAGGCATCTGGTTCCTTAATGGTCAGAAAAATGCCCATGGTGATCTATGTTTGCCCCCTAGTGAGTCACTAGGGTTTTAGCTCGCCGGAAAGCAGTGATATAAATACAATGGGGAAAAAGGTAGTGAGGTTGTCAGCACCAGTCAGAAAGCAGCCTAAGCACGGAGCAACGTGGTGCACATCAGAGCTTTTGGCTGACTTTGTTGACCAGGTCAATAAGTACATGTTCCTGGTCTGAGTGCACAACATCTGCCCACCAAGTTCTCCCTCTCTGTACCCACATCATAGTATCCAACAAGTCCAGAGGAGCCAACTACCAAACCTCCTACAATGGGACCAGATAAAAGGCAGAAGGGGTGAAAAGGCCTGAAACGTCGTCATTGCTTCCAGGAAGAGCATTGCTTTCCCATCCTTTGTTCACTGGCTTTACTCTTATAACAATTAGAACATAACAGTTAAGGCCTGGGCCCCTTCCTGTGGAGGCCATTGGTAAACCTTTACAACCATTTCCCAAGAACTGGATTTCCATTTGTGTTCTATACAATCCAATATAAATTTTCCCACTGTACTGCATGCTCTGGTTTTCCCCTCAATTTAATTTTTTTAAAGTCTTTACACAGTCATATCCCAGCTTTTTCCTTCAAGAAACATAAAACAGACATCTTTCTAGCAGAAGTGTAAACTTTCGACCACAGTTGTAGAATAGGCTGGCTGTGTGCCCCCGAGACTTCCTGCAACTCTTCTCACACCCATTTCCTCCTCTGAAAATGGAGGAGGCTGCCCTCAGAGTCTCCAGAGAGCACCATTGGACTCTAAGGCTTTAGATTATTTCTTATTAAAACATAAAAAAAAAAAGCCCTTCCCTTCCACATGCAAGGCAGCTACTCTGATTCTGCAAACAGAATCTACAGTCTCGTTTGAAAATTGGGGCTTTGGACCGACTGAAAAGGAGACAGAAGCGAATTGTCTAAGATAAATCCAACCACTTTTGAATGGTGTCCTTGGAGTGAATTTAAAGACCATGCTGGACTTGGAAGAGTAGTACAACTAAGATGCTAGGAAGACCTCACTGCCAGCTTTAGAGAATAAATAAATTTCACGTTAACATTTCCACACTCAGGAGGTCCATCCGTGAGGTGGACCCCTTTCATTCCCAAAACAGCAAGGCACGGAGCTGCTGTGTCCTAGGGCTCTTGGAACTCAAGTGGGAAATGTGTTTGGAGAAGAAGGAAGGAGGCAGAACTGGGAGTCTGATACTTACTTGTGGCCCAGCTCATGGGCGATGGTAAGGCCAAATTGAGACCATTGTCTTCAGCAAGCACACATTTCCTCTTAGCACTGCACACGCCTCCTAAGTAAGCAATTCCTGCAGCAGAACCCTAAACACACATCCTCTTCAGAATGGGAGGCCCTGACCTCCAGAGAAGCTTCCACTGTCAGAATCCACGCACCTGAAAGGAGCAGGGGACGCTGCTGTCTACCAGGCCAGACCTGAAAGCCTGGAACACGCCAGATTAAGCAACCACCGGGTGTTTTTAAATGCATCCAATAATGGCGTGACCACAAACATCTAGCAAGCCCTTGATGTAGGTCAGGTAGAGTGCTGAGTGGCTTATCAAAGCATCTAATTCCATTCTCATTACTGAGAACAGAAGCAACCCAAGCCTAGGTTCAGAAGGAAAAGTTTCCCAGGGTCAGCCGGCTGGGTATCCGGGCTCAGGTAAGAATGGCTGAGTAGGCTAAGTCTCTGTGGTTAAGGGGATGTCCTTCTTGCACTTACATGTCATTGAAGGGGCATCTCTAGGCTTTTGCCTCCCCTAGCCCTGACCCTCAGGGACAAGGCACCAGCTGAGGGGTGTGAGCAGAGGCAGCACGCAGAGGGGCAGGAGTCGGATGCGCTTGGTGAGCCAATTGTGGGGAAGCACCAGGCTTTCCCTGGAGGAAGGCTCACTGGTGAGGGCTGCATGTATGTGGCTGGATGGCTAGGAGGCAAGGGTGCAGTGCTGAGTCGCAGGGCAGGGAAACCCTGCTGCACCAAGCTTCCTTCCCTCTGCAGCAGTCCTATTCTTCCCAGGATGCCCCCTGTACCACCGGGCACCTCAGGGCCTATGGCAGCAAGGTCTCTGCCCTCCATCCACGAACACCTGGATAGACTGAGAAGGCCTAACTGGTCCTGTGGGGTCTACTTTGGGTAAACCTAGAGCTGTGCAGCAGTAGTCAGAGATGACAGCTGTTCTTTATTATTCTGGCTAAGCATTATGCTGTAATCATTGAGGAGAAATCCTGTTACTACAGCCATCATTACCAGTCCTCTACTTAGCTCATCTGCAGCTCAATTATTAATTTCCCTGAAATGTTGCAGGAAGAGGATTCAGCTCTCAGGACAAAAGGAGGACAATCTAGGGGGAATTATTTCATCAAAAATGACCTCTGTTCCCCACTTAGAAATAAACACATCTCCTTAGCACAAAGCCAGCTTTGCAGTCAGTCACTACACTTCTTGACCCATTATTTAACTACTCATGGTCACATTTGTACTCCCCTTCCCAGAGCAAGAGGGGGAAACAATGCCTGGGGGGCCATGAAAAAAAAAGTGGGGGTTTCAGGACAGCTTAGAGGCAAAGTGCTTACTGAGGGATGTGAGGGACTGGGTTTGGTCCTTGGCTTCACAAAGAAAAACGTTAGCAAAGCCAGCACAAAGTTAAAGCACACACAGGGCATTCCCTCTCTGGGTTCCCCCCTTGAGGTACTGAGGGCCTCACACAAAGGCTTTGCAGAGATATGGGGTTCTGAGGCAAGCAGTGGGTGCCACATCCCACATCCCACATGATGAGCTGTGCTGTATGTACCACAGGCCTATTTTTCTCTGGAAGTATGCTCAGCCAAGGATTTCAGAATAGCAACAAAGGAATAAGTTAAATGCTATTTTGGCCTCAAAATGCATTTTATGCCATGGATTTAACAATCCAGCAATGCAGACTCAAAGCTTGAAGAAAACAACATCTGAAAGGATGCAATCTGGCTGCTTGTGACTTCAAGATTCTGTTCTGTTTTAAAATGCTTTTGGGTTGCTGCTGGCAGTCTACCAGTAGTGATGGTACGCTGCTACAAAATCCTATGCTGTATGCTGAATACACACATGCCTTACGCTCGTACATGCACACACACATGCACATCACACTACATTTTGTAACACAGGTCACAGCCATTCTGAGTCAATGAATCAATTATAGGCAATCAGAAGCATACATTTTAAGGTAGCCACATGGTGAGAGAGAAGGAGGCATAACATGTCCAGATCACTGGGCTTGCTGTCCTGAGCATACCTGCTTTGGCTCACTGCTGAACCAGCAGACCTGAAATGCCACACAAATACTTTCCTGGGTCATGGCAGCCCTTTGCATTCTGAGCTAGCAGAATAGGCTTCCCACTTTAATTGGGTAGCATGCAGTGCACTATGAGGAAGCAGCCAGCAGAAACCTTCCAATAATTGCATTTAAATTTTTCCAAGGTGCAGATACTTGGATTGAAAAAAAAAACCACCTAGGAAACAAAGGATCAGTTTATTTATAAGAATTCTCTTGCACAAGGGTGGATTAAGGGCTATTGCTTTTTGATTGATTGCAATCATTACCAGTCTTGTGATAAAACCCAACAAAAGAAAACATATAAAAGAAAATAACCCTTGATCACAAAAAAATGCAAGAGCTGCGAGGTTATAAGCAAGGGCGTCAAAATGCTTAGGATGCTCGTAAACAAAGACTGGAGAGAATCCCAGGTTGCCCTCAATGTGAGGTCTGCTGGGTAAATAAACTGGTGATTAAACCATGGAGCTTCTGTGGAAACAAGCCACCAGTATTCAATGCTTCATGGAAAGAAATAACTATTTGGGGCAAGGACACTGGTGACAGGGGGCCCCTGGTACAGGATGCACCTAAGGTTTCCCGACTGCCCAGGGGTTGAGGATCACTGTGGTGACATTATTGGGAGGTGATGGGATGTCCAGGGACATACTCCTTTAAAGGGGATTGTAGGACTCAGTCCCTTTCTCCTTTTTTACTCCCTGGCTGTGGTGAGTCATATCCTTACTTTGCAATTTCAACAATTGCATTCAGGACTAGCACAGGAGACTTGAAAGCAACGGCTCTTGAACATGGACTGGAACCTCTACAGCCATGGCTAAGACAAACCTCTGCTCCTCCGGAAGATGCTTTTCCTTGGGGATACGTGCCAGCAGTGGGAAGCTAACCAATATAAACCTTGATCACCCCAGACCCAAAAGAACCAAACCAGAAAAGGCCACCAAAAGTCCACATTGGCTTGTCCATATAAATATGGAAAAAACTAGTTTTGTCTGTATCAAATTTACTTAAAAACAGAGACCCAAACATATGTGCTCTATTAACCTGTTAACTTCGTGCTGCAGAGCCCCTTTAACTGCAACTCCTGCCAGCAAGAGTTTTTACACCTCATTATGGTGCTTCTAGTGGCTCAGAGCTCCCATGATTTCAAATTCCCCACAAAAGAAATCATAGTAAGGATGGACTCATTTTAAAACACCAGCCCTGAATGTTTGCATGCATAGCTTCTTGGAACCAAGGGAAGCATAAAGGTAACTGTCACTCATTGCAGTTACCCTCAAGGCACGAAGCCTGACCCATCCCTACAAAGTTTGTTTGTTTTATAGTCAGTAGGTGCTTGTGTTAGCCACCTCTCTCCTCAATGTGACAAATCCCCCAAGAGAGATACTTCAGGAGGAAGGTCTGGCTGGATCTGTTTTAACTCACAGTCTGAGAGGATTCAGTCCTTGGCTGGCTAGTTCTTCATAGGTGAGACTGTGGTGAGGCTGCCCATCAGTGGCAGGCAGGCATTGGAGCTTGCAGTGGGGGGAAGGGGGTGGTGGCAGGAAGGGCTCCAGATAAAATATCCCCATTCGAGGTTACACGCCCAGTGACCTACCTCCTCCACTGGAGCCCTGCCTTCCACAGCTCCACCACCCCTCCACAGTTTTGGTTGAGTAATGAATAAGCCACTGGTTAGGTCTAGGCCACTGTACTCTAGACCTCTCTGGACCATGCCCCTCACAGACTCACTCAGAGATGGGATTGAGCTAATTGCCTTGTCTTGTCCTGTTTCCATTGAATGAAGTTAATAATCGAGATTGACTATCAATGTTGGAGCATGATAGACACGAGAGGCGCTCTGTCTCTTAACACTTCCACTGACAGCTGGACTTTCCCCAAAGCTTGGCTAAAGGACAACAGTGAATAAGCTTGGGAGGAGAATATTTTCCTAAATGTGTGCTTCCACAAAGACGTAGATGGAATAGAGCCAAGGTGTCCATCTATTTAAGGTCAAATGTTCTTAATCCTAAAGATAAGAAGACTCAAGAGACACATGCTCCAATCTCAGTGGTGTTGCCTCTGGGATGTGGTAAAGGGAGTGAGACCTTTGAAAACCTTTCCCCTTTTCTTATTAGGAGCTACAGTGGGACTATTGAGATGGACCAGGAAGTAAAAATTGTTGCCCCTAAGGCTGAAGACTTGAGTTTGATCCCCACAATCCACACAGTGAGGAGGAGGGAACCAACTCCCACAAGTTGTCTTCTGAACTCATCTCATGCACCATTGCATGTGCATGCCCCAACCTGCTAGAAAAGAAATGGAATGCAAATGAAAAGAGACCAAATAAAGTTATTATACTAGATTTAAACTTCATACCATCAATGTATTGTATATTTCATTTATTCTAATGGCATGGCAGAGGCAGAAAACAAAAACAAAAACAAGGCCCTGCTGGATTTCTGCCCTGGTGTACATCTCTGCAAGAATCAGACAATGTGGGAAGTTCCCTGTCAACTCAATCGAGCACATAAATGCATGTGTGCTCGAGCCAGGATTTGTCCCACCTCTGCTGAAGCCCTGGGATAAACAGAAGTAAAGCACCTATCAAATGCTGAGTGTAGAGGACAATGATGAGGTCTTCTGATGCCAAGGGATGTTTAATTCATTCTTCCAGGGAAGAGAACCAAGTCTGAGAGCCCTCCACCCACCTTCCTAGCCATGCTGACCACACATCCACCCCCCCTCTCTTTCTGTAGGAATACAACATTGGAGAGGAAATCAGGTGAAGAAGCTTAGTCATTTCCATTTCAGTAGAGAGCTGCATGCAACCCTAATTCCTAAACCCAGGACTAGCTATTTGATCTGCTCTAGACCCAAGGGTAAATACCAAGCAACTGTTTTAACCCTGGTTCTCCAGTAAATCACGTGTGTAAACTGCCTGCAGCTGTTGGCCTTGTTGCCTATTAGTCAGATGCAGGAGCCTGTGGCTAACAGTCAGGTTTTCCTTGCTGACTGCACATTG